GGCTTCCCCGCAGCTAAACCGCCAGACGCGGGGGGATCAAAGGGGGAACGCTGGCAAAGCGACGGGGCAGGACGCGGCCCCGCCAGCGCGTTGCGCAAGCATGCCCGGGGGAGTCGCCGGCACTGAACCACACATGTACTTTGTTTGCAAGTTCTCAACCTGGCACCGCTGGCACCTGATAAAAGCCTGATGCCTCGAGCAGGGAAACCCAGGACGAGAACGAGGTGGGACCAGCAACTGTTTAGGTGCCTACTCGATGCTCTCAGCTCTCAAGCAGGACCAAGACCGAGATGTTTTTGCAGAGACATCACGGGAGAAGTTGTTTAAAGAACATCTACCCTCGTTCTGGATGCGGAAGACACCGGGAGGCTCCCGAGCCGGCTTGTTTGTGAGAAACTTCCAGCCCCGACTTGCAAAAACAAGTTAGGTAACTGGGATGCCAAGCCTGTATCTGCGCAAGCCGCCCCAGTGGCTCAGTCACCAGGCTCTGCGGAGCTGGGGATGGACCGAGGCGTTTGCTGCTCACGCTCTGCCTGGCCGACCGAAGGCACGGCCGTTTCTCCAAGGAAAAAACTATTGGGAGACATGACGCCGGGCTGAAGCGGGAAAAGCGATGTCTCACGTGGACCCTCGCAGGTTTTATAAACCAGCGTTCGAATGACTCCCTCCTCCCCTGAGGTTTGCCAAACTGCCGCGACGCGCCGTGCAGCCCGCTTTGCAATTGCTAGAGCCGGCGTGATGCCGGTCCCTCGGACGCAAAGCAAGGTCCACGCCGCAGCTGGGCTAAGCGTTTTGGAGCTGGAAGTTTCTGGCCGTCCCTCCCACACCCAGAGCCGCAGACGCGTTCGCAGAGAGGGGGCAGAAATATTCCACAAGCGGGAGGCGAGGGCGGGTGTGGGAAAGTTTGTTTTTCACCCTCCTCTGCCTGAAGCCCGGCGCCCGGAGCTGCGTGTCGGGGACGGACCAGGGAGCAGGACCGGGGTGTGCACGCGGGGCGCCGGGACCAGCACGGCCACGCTCTGCCGGCGCCGCCACCGAGCTCCGAGCGCCCCTTGCCAAACCCAGCTGCGGTTTCCAACCCTGGGTTTGCTCATCTGCCCCGCGCCACGGGAACGCGCCCGGAGCCGGAGAGGAGATGCCTTATCTTAGTTCGCCCAGTGACTCAGGGGCAGAGAAGGGAGAAGGCAGGAGCCTGACTCATTAGCGCGTTCGACAGCCACTGGGCAACGCTCCCCCGACGCTCCCTTCGGCACCTCCTCCTCCTCCTCCCCTGCTTCGGCAGCCCCAGCAAGGCCTGGCCCTCCCGGCCCCGGCACGG